CATTTACAACAGGGACAACTTCTGACACAGCAAAAACTTTGGTTATAACCAGACATTTTGATTTTCTTGTAGCTGAGGAGACCTTTCCTGAAGCCCATTAGTGATTTAATTTCTGCCGTAGGTAGGAGGAAGGCTGCTTATGGCGGAAGGGACTTCACAGTCATCTAGACAAGATCAATTTTGTTTCTGCACAACTAGAAGCGTTCTATTCTTTTTACATGTCTTTGGCACTGTTGAAAGAGGTGGGATTTTGCAGGTCTCTGTAGCAAAATTTCTGAGATGCAGGTGAGTGTGCAGTTTTTGAAAAATTCGGGAAAGAAAACTGTAAGACTGTGTGGGTCAGTAAAAAGGATACCAGACTTGAGAATTAAGTCCTCTGTCTCTGTCCTCATGATGTTAAGAGATCATTTTGTCCAGGCAAAGAACTAGACAAGAACAGGCAAGTTCTGCCCTCGCTTCAGAGGGGGCTCTGTTCAGACTGGGTGTGAAGGCGTCAAGTGCCTTTCTACCTTGCATGGACATCTCGGAATCACAGAATCATGGAATTGCTGAGGCTGGAAAAGACCTCTGAGATCATCAAGTCCAGCCTATGACCCAACACCACCACATCGGCCAGACCACGGCACTAAGTGCCACATCCAGCCTCTCCTTAAACACCGCCAGGGACGGTGACTCCACCACTTCCCTGGGCAGTGCATCCCAGTGCCTGAGCACCCTCTCGGTGAGGAAGTGTTTCCTGAGATCCCGCCTAAACCTTCCCTGGCGCAGTTTGAGGCCCTCTCGTCCTGTCAGTGGTCGCCCAGGAGAAGAGCCCGACCCCACCTGACTACACCCTCCCTTCAGGCAGTTGTAGAGAGCGATGAGGTCCCCCCTGAGTCTCTTCTTCTCCAGGCTAAACACCCCCAGCTCCCTCAGCCTCTCCTCACAGGACTTGCTCTCCAGTCCCTTCCCCAGCCTCGTTGCTCTCCTCTGGACCCGCTCCAGCCCCTCAAGGTCTTTCTTGCAGTGAGGGGCCCAGCCCTGCACACAGGGCTCGAGGGGAGGCCTCACCAGTGCTGAGTACAAGACTGCAGCTCCTGTCTCCATGGCTCGTGCCATAGAAGGTCCCAGTGGCCAGAAGGCGATACCTTGGGGTGAAGCATTGACCAGAAGGTTGACGACTCTGATGATCATGCCCAGGAGACAGCAGGGAAGTGGTTTGCACTGATGGTCGAGCTCCCAAGTTGGTTTTGGCTGATGCTTCTTGTAGTCACTCCAAAGAGACTGCCTCTCAGCTCAGGCATCTGAAGTGGTTTCCAACAAGCACATCCCACCCCTTTGCCTCCTTCACTCTTCCTGGCTTCACTGAGAGAGTTGTTTGCAACCAGTTAGTTGAACAACTGGGGAAAGTCCCTGGAAATTCACCCATTTACCTCAAGGCTGTAGTTTCCCCTATAGCTGTAGGTTGAACAGTGTGCATGTTGGAGAGGGAATGTTCCTTTGTTACCTCTCTCTATATTTATTTCTTAATATTACCTTGTTTCATTTTCTTTTTGTGCTATTAATCTTTGTTTACCTTGGCTTTTTAGCTTCAGTATTTTTTTCCTATCTTCTCCCTTTCTCCATTTCATAATTTTCACATAAATTACCATGAATAAACTTGTTTCTCCCACCTGTCACTTATTGTTTATCACTAGTTACGTCTTGATGAGCTAATACGATATTGCACAATTCTGGGCCTTTAACAGTACCAAATGGACCAAGAAATAGATGATCATTTTCTGCCAAGCTAAAATGACTTCAGAATTTTTGTCATTTTCTCACTTGTAACCAGATTTTTCTATGGGAGGGTTTCCTTTTTGTAACTGTTGCTCAGTGTTCTTTTTCTAAGTTCTTAAAAGTATTCACCCAATAGATTTGTACGTCAGAGTAGGAAGGACATAGCTCAAAGCACCTAAAGTTACGTAGCCCTAAAGTTATGGTAACACCTAAAGTTGTGATAACAGATCACCTTAGGTAGTGTGTACTTTTTTTTTTTTTAAGCAGATAAAATGAAAAACTGAATCTGTATTTTTTTCAATTATATGCAAGGAAGACAGTTTGAGCAGATAGCAGATAGATTTTTAGTTTGTAAACAGACAGTTGTCTGTTTTCTTACCAAATTAAAGCAAATTTCTTGCTTGGCTGCCACTACCATAAATAAAGACGTGTATTTATGGTTCTGTGTGCTACTTAATCCTGTGCTTCAACAGGTATCTGCTGCATACTTTTCCTACAGCAAGTATATACATGTATGTGTATATACGTGTTTACATATCTGTGTATTGTATACCGATGGAGAGGACAGAACATCTGGAGTAAACTGTTAGTCACAGTGTGATGTGCAGGTATGAGACTTGCTTTCAGGAAAAACAAAATGGCTCAAGATCAATATGCAAATACCAGTTGCAGTGTGCCGAGATAGACGGTTTAGTTCACTTCTCTCAGAGCTGTTGCCCCTAGTGCTTTGCAGAATACCTTCTACTCTGATGAGATCCAGTTCAGACTTTTTGAGCAGTTAGAGGCTTTTATTTTTTTTTTCCGTTCTGTTTTAAAACAAAACAGCTAAAGAACAACAAAGTAGCTTCAGAGTAGTACTTGGATGACGTAGCAGCACAGCAGCTTTAGCTGGTGCTTTCAAAACTGCAAGTATTGAGTTAATCTTAATCCTTCAGGCTCAAGTAAGTTTCTTTACGGATCAGGGAGCTGGCTTGGTATCTACTCATGATACTTTCACTGCTTTTCTGATGGCAAGTGTCAATTGTCTTTCCTTCTTAGCTGTTCCACTTGCATTGCTGGTCTCTGTAGACTTACCTGGGTTCAGCTGTACCTATGTGACGTTTTGATTTTACTGCCATTTTAAGTAGTTTAAAAAAAACATGGAGCACAAACAAAATACAAACTAGTGGATTCCAGCATCCTACTTCTGACACAGTGATTTGTGATTTTTCTGTCAAGGTCCCAGGGGAATTGCTGAAGGAAAAAAAGAGGAATGCTAACCCTTAGCAGACTTGGTGTGAGCTTTGGTGCTGTTATTCTAATCCTTGCGCTTTAAGTGCGGTTGTGGGTATTTGCTGAGCACCACCAAGTTGTCCAGAAGCTGGAAAGAAAGAAGTGATCATTTCCAGCCAGCCCCCATTTCCCTGAGCTTAGCCCTTGAGCTGTCTCCAGTTGTGTGAAACAGGAGCTCAAGACTGACTCTGTTGTCAATCGCATCAAATTATTAGGGCTTCTCGGAGGAGACCTGTGTGGGAGCCTTGCAGGCAAGGACTTAGATTTGTTTTGCTATAGCAGCATTCCTAGGTACTGCAGCCTTCTTTCTTATAAAGAAGAGAAAGCTACGGATGCAGATTTTGCACCATAGGAGGTGGGGAAAAGATTGCCTGCAGCAGGGACTGGTAACTGGAGGATGCTCAGGGAGTACTTGGAGCCTAATGCCAGGTAAGATACTGGAGCTGTTCTTGTTGGAGCAATTTTTGGAGTCCGGCTAGAGGACTGAGCTGTGAGGGACCTGGGAAATCCTCCACAAACAGTCCTTCACTTGTCTCTCCTGCCGCCAGCGGCAGCATCTGCATCCACGTTGCCCTGTACCTTCAGCATCACGTAAGCCCTGCTCTTGTGAAGTTTTTGTTGTAACTGCGATAGCCACAGCATGGTTTTAAACTCCAGTTTTGAATGTGCTGAGTCTGATCTGACTGGTCAGTGGCTAAATGCTCGCAAATAAGATTTTACAGAGCTGTCAAAAATAGGTAGTGATGGGTTGGTGGACTATAGTAAGGAGAACATTCCATGGTAGAAGTATAGTAGGCAACCCTTGCAGCATACCTGAGGACAAATCTTCAGAAGGAAGGGCATGCACTATTTTGCATGGACTTGAACGTACAAATGTTGATACTAAATTACTTTCCATCTAAAGGGATTTCAGTAGGGGTAGAAATAAGGGAGGAGGAGATAGTTATTTTGGGGTTGGCCAGTGTCAGATATGACACAAGGGTGAGCTTAAGACTAAAAAAGGGAGGAGGGCAGGCAGGAGAAAACGTGGAAGAGAAGCAGGAAGTTTGGAAAGAACTTTGAAGGATAAGCAGGAGGAAAGCAAAAGATGGTTGGAGACACCGTGGCATGGTGGGCTGGAGCAAGCTGTTGAGAGGGTGTCACAGCACTTTCCCGTCCTCTTTTCTGCTCCCTAGAAATCATTTGTTTCACTGGGCATATGCTGTGGTTTGGGTTGTTCTTTGTTTTGTTTTGTTTTTATTTGTGTGCCTGGAGTGTGTCCCTTTCAGCAGCACCTGCAAGTCCCCATTGTCCATTGTAGTCGTCGTGTACTTCAGCGGGCTGCTGATCCTCTGTTGTTGCCCTCTGAGCTGCACATACGTACAAAGTAATGCAGTACCCAAGCCTACAACTGATGGCATCATACCTAATTTAAACTCATGTGTGGCAGCAAATTCTGTTCAGTTGCTTTGCCTGACAGAGCGTACGGAAACCTCTGTGTCCTGGGAGTCTGAGAAGATCCTGACCAGACTCACTGTTAGAGTGCAGGTACTTTTGCTTATAGGTAAATGTATATACAGATGTCAGGAGAATTGAGGCCTGACTCAGGAACTACTTGGGTTACCTTGTGAAATCGATGACAGACGTGTAGAGGGTCACACTCGTGATGTTGGTTGATGCTTGCGAAGGAGATCTTAGGTGAGGTTCCCAGGTTTTGCGAGGAAGTACTGAGCGTCTCAAAGGCAGGCCGCTCAGTTTGGCAATGGCAGCATTGTTCACACAGGGTATTTTTATGTTGGGAACTGTTTCTGAATTCAAGGGTCAGGTCCAGTTCTTGTTTTATTAGGAGAGCAACTGCTACATCTTTCGGAACCTCTGGGTAAACAAAGTGTTTAGGATGCCAGGAGATTTTTCAGTATTAAATCTGCAATTGTTTTTCAAAACTCAGCATGGAAGTGTTCTGACCTTTTAAACTTTTCTGATCTTCATAGGACTTTACAGACTCCAACCCAAGTGCCGGTGGTTGTTTCTCCTGGAAATCAGCAGCTGCATACTGTAACACTCCAGACGGTGCCTCTTACTACGGTGATAGCCAGCACAGATCCAGCCTCAGCGACGACGCCCCAAAAATTCATTTTACAAGCCATTCCTACTTCACAACCCATGACGGTTCTTAAGGAAAATGTCATGCTGCAGTCTCCAAAGCCAGTCTCGCCTCCTTCCTCGATCGTGCTGAGCCCAGCGCAGTTTCAGCAGGTGCTCACCAGCAGCGTGCAGACAATTTGCAACGGAACCGTCAACATGGCTTCGTCTCCATCCTTCAGTGCCACTACCCCCGTGGTAACGTTTTCGCCCAGCAGCTCGCAGGTGGTAGCTCATCCTTCGGGCACAGTGATCACTTCGGTTATTAAAGCACCAGAAACGAAACAGGTTGGCGTACAAGGAGCGGTAAAAGAAGAAGACAGTGACAAATCGGATGATACTGAGCAGACGGAGCAGAGGTTCCAGCAGCAGCCCTTGGTGATGGTAGTGTCCAGTTCAAATGGTTTCCCATCTAACGTGCAAGTGAAGCAAGAAAATGAGCTGTTGGAACCCAATTCATATTAATAAATAAATATTTTTTGTAAAAAAAAAAAAAAAAAAAGACCCTGTGGATGATTATTTTCATAAATGTGATGGGACCTTTTCAGTTATGTATATATATGATTTGATTCTGAAGCAAAGCTACATAATTTCTGCAGTTAATTGTTAGAATTCTTGCTTTAGAATGGGTTTTGATTTTCTGTTAATTGCTAAATATTACCATATAAATAAAATTATATGTTACTCACGTTTCAAAATACAGGCATGAAGGAACATGCTTCTTACACGATGAAGACTTTCTCCTGAGGCTGTTGGCCAAAGTTTCAAACTTACTTCTTCTTGTAAGTTTTCAGTCTGTTGCTGATTTACATTTCAGTAACATTATTATAACCTTTTCTGTTTAATCCGTATGTGTATCACTTAACTTTTGAAGCAACAGTTACTTCTAGTGGGACATTTTCATTCCATGTATATGAATTTTTATGATCAAGTATCTGAATTACACCAGTTTTAGACTTTGATAACCAGGTATCCTCTGGCATTTTTTTGCAGCACAGGCTCTTGTGCGTGCAAAATTGAGTATACACTCCTATTGAGAGTACATGAAACATTTATTCCAGTAATGGACAATGCCATGTCTATATTTTATATGAAAACATCAGATATATTTAATTACAGAAGCTAACGGCATCACTACAGGTGCAAACGTTTCATGCCATTTTGCAACTATGAAGCTTAACAATCTTGCTTTCTACTTCAGATTATTTTTTAAGGGGGGAGGGAAATGGAATATATACAACTTATGCAGGTATCTGGAGATTAATACTGCTAAGAGTTCCTTTTTTGATTGTAAATAATGTACATTCAATGTCACAGGGAAGTTTTTTCAGCTAATTTGTTTCCATACAAATTTTTGATAGATGCAAATAAGATCATTATGTTTAGAGCTCTAATGTTATATGTATTCATATTACAGAGTGAATTTGTATTTAAAGACAAATTTTTAAATGATGGAGCCCTCTGAACCTTGAGGCCTTGTCTTTTGTATTTTTAATTGGTTTATTATGAAAATAAATCAAGTGGAAAAACTTTTTTTTTTTTGTATTTACTCTGAAATATTTTTAACAGGCAAACCAAAACTTTTGAACCTAATTCTGGGGTGCCATTCATTGCAAAGGTCTTTGTAGCTCATATAACACAACTGCTGGCCCAAACTACTAGAGCTTCAAATCTTGCATGTTGCAGTGTTTCAACAGAAGCTGTATTAAAAATAAATAGGATGCCTGATAAGACTAGTGGATGTCATCATCATCATCATGGCTAGGCTTTGTGAACGAAGATACGGGAAGGGCTCTACCCACGCTTGCTACAAGTGTGCCAATGGCTAAGAAGGCCGATGCAGGATAGGCAAATCTGTTTGCAAAAGGCACAGCAGAAAGTCTCCTGAGGCGGTATTGGTGAGGCACGGTTCTTTTGCGTTGTCTTTTCTCCTCGAGACTAATTCTACGTGTGTTCTCAAAGGAGGCAGCAGCGTTATGGATGCTGTGTCTCCACGTCTCCCGACTGGAGGCCAGAGTGGACCACTGATGGCAGTCAATATGGCCAAAGCTGAGGTATTGTTGCAGAGAGTCTTTGTATCTCCTCTTTGGGGCTCGTGGTTTGGGCCAGCCAGTGGCGAGTTCGCCATAGAGCACAACCTTAGGGAGGCGGTGATCCTCCATCCTGGAGAGAGAAATGTAAAATGGCAGGAAATAGGACTTTCCATGATTGAATTCATGTAGGAGTTTTATTGATTGGTTCATAAGCTTAAATTAAACATATGAGTACCAGAAAAACTCATGGGAGTGGAACAGTGACAGAGATTGGTTTAGTTGAAGAGAAGTAACTCCACAAATTGCATCGAAGGAGCAGTTTTCTGCTGCAGCTGCCCTGCTTCTGGGCAGGTCAAAGCGCCCTGTTGAATTCAGCATTTGTATCTCCCATGCCCCTGCCAGTCCAGCATGCCTCACCCCATTTTCGTGAAGACTGGCTGTACTCAAACCAAAATGACGGATGCCAGCTGAGGGGTGCTTTGTTTTGGTTTTCAATTTTTTATCTGGCAATATTGCTAGATGAGGGGTAGGCGCTCCTGAAGGTTATCTGGTGCAGTTCTCAGCCCAAGGGCTGCTTCAGATCGATAAAAGCACTGGAGAGGGAAGCTTTTTTTTTTTTCAATCAGAATATAAAATAGGGGCTTTTCTCT